AGTTCGTACAGGGTGCACCAGTGTCGTATGCCAACTCGTTGGCAGTAACGACCTGGAAAGATGGAGAGGCACCAATGGTGGTTGAAGTGGTTGGCCAACTCCGGGAATACAAAGAAAGTATCTCTTCCTCCCTCATCTTGGCTGTGGAGAAACTGTCCCAAGAGGTCCAGCAACTCAAAGAGAATAGGTCATGTTCCATCTGTATGGACCAGTATCTCAGCTATTAGGAGTAAGTGTCCCTCTGCTCAAAAGAGAGAATATAGACGGTACACACCACAGGGCACCCTATGGTTTTATCTTTGTGATCACAGAGAGGATATGAGGCAGTGGGATGGAAAAATCTACCTTGACCCTACACGCAAGGGTATGCAAGTTGCAAGGAAAAACAATCGCAAAGGGGGGTTCTTTCAGGAAGAAGAACTAATCCAGTTTCCAATGGACAGTTCCCCAGACAGAGTAGAGGAGCTGATCCTACTTCCAGTCTTAATAAAGGCATTTTTGATTCATATTTACAAGAAGTGAGTAACAAATACTATGACAAGGATTAGAGGGGCCCTGCCTCCAGCCAGGTGCAGGAAGGGAACAACAGGGTTTACTGGACTGTGTGGATTTGATGGCCTGGCATGTCAGACCCACAAGCTCTAGTGGACACCAGTGCACAGTGTACCCTAGTGCCATCAAGCTATACAGGGGCAGGGCCCATCTGTATTTCTGGAGTGATGGGGGATCCCAACAACTGACTGTATTGGAGGCCAAAGTGAGTCTAACTGGGAATGAGCAGCAGAAGACCCTCATTGTGACTGGCCCAGAAGCTCTGTGCATCCTTGGCATAGATTACCTCAGGAGAGGGTATTTCAAAGGTTACTGGTGGGATTTTGGTAGAACTGCCTTGGAGATGGAGGAAATTAAACAGCTGTCTGCCTTGCCTGGTCTCTCGGAGGACCCTTCTGTTGTGGGGTTTACCACAACAGTGCACCGGCGGCAATATCACACCAACCAAGACTCTCTGATGCCTATCCAAAAGCTGATTTGTAGACTGGAGAGCCAAGGAGTGATCAGCAAGACCCGCTCACCCTTTGACAGTCCCATATGGCCACTGTGAAAGTCTGATGGAGAGTGGAGACTGACAGAAGGCTGTTGGGGCTGAATGAAGTCAAGCCACTGCTGAGTGCTGCCGTGCCAAACCTGCCAGAACTTCAATGTTAACTGGAGTCAAAAGCAGCCAAACGGTATGCCACAACTGATATCGCTAATGTGTTTTTCTCAATCCCTTTGGCAGCAGAGTGCAGGCCGCGGTTTGCTTTCACTTGGAGGGGCATCCAGTACACCTGGAACTGATTACCCCAGGGATGGAAACAGCCCCACCATTTGCCATGGACTGATCCAGACTGCACTGGAACAGGATGAAGCTCTGGAATATGTGCAATATATTGATGATATCACCGTGTGTGCCAATATAGCAGAAGTTTTTGAGAAAAGGAAAAAAATAGCCCAAATCCTTCTGAAAGCTGGTTTTGCCATAAAATGTAAAACTTTTGCCCTTCCAATTCTCTCCCCCAACCCACCACAAGGAGAGGAGGGTGAGCGAGCGGCTGGGTGGTGCTTAGTTGCCGTCTGGGGCTAAACCACAACAATATATGAACTAAATCAGCCTTTGTCACTGGGAGACTTTCAGTCAAAGACTGTGCTTCCTTTAGAAATGCAGAGGTCAGCAGAAAAGAGCAGCTTTTTTGAAAAGATTGTTGCAGACTGAGGATAGCTGTAGCTGATTAGCAGACGACCCCAACGCTCCTGGGATAGAAAACCAGAAAGTCTAAGGGACTCATTTGGCACTCTAGCTAGAGGTATTTATAACCAATCATTTAAAAACACAGCATAACCAAAGAACACTCTCTTCTTTTTCCCTCTTCCTTCCCCAAAAGGGATGAATGTGTTTCTGTTCCTTTTCCGTAAGCAATAGCTACTTCTTGAAATTCTCATTCTGTGAAGTGACAGGTTGAAGAAAGCAGCAGTGAGGGACGCGGGGGCTTGCAGAGCCTCCTATCTTCAAGTCTGCTTTTCGAACTACTGTTCAGTAGACATTTCTGATAATAAGCAAACAGATCCACAACGTACTGCTGATCCTTGTGCATTTGGCATAACTGAAGAGGCTCAGAGGTAGCCTGTATAAGGCTGTGGAGCAATGCTTACGGGGATAATGGAATCAGGGTTTGGGATGGATTTTTTTCAGATTGCATGGTCCTCTGACACTAATCTTCTGGCATGCCCAAGTTTAAGAAATCAGAGTTGGCTTGAAACAACACAGATTACTGGTTCAAGGTTTTTTTTTTTTTTCTCCTATATATCTTTGTAACAACTTCTGGGATGGCAGAGAGGGTGAGGCTAACCAGTTCTTTCTCAAGCAAGTTGATGAAGGGTTTGATGGTTTTACCAAATGAAACACTGCTTATTCCTTTCTGTTCTGGTGGGCAGCGCTAGGCAAATGAAAGGCCTGCTTCTGATGGAGACTGAACAGCAGATGTAGCAAGAGTTTAGAAGGTCAGCATAGGAAATGTAAATTGCTAAGGCCAGTTGTAAAAGTAGAGGCTATATATGCTCAAGTAGATCCTGTCGAAGTCAGTCCAAACGAGGTATCTGTGACGACTCTTTGAGCTGAAGCTTGCAAGTCATGCAGATGGGCGGTTGCAGGGCAGCCAGGAGGCAAAGCGTGCTGGGCAGCCACTGCTGGCTGGCCATGAGGCAGGCATGGAGCATTACGTGGCACTAAGGCGGAGCTCTGCCAGGCCTGGTATTCTGAATGGAGCGAAGAGCATAGCTGCGCTTCCAAAATCCTTGCTCAAGGGCCCTTGTTTCAGTGGCCACGTGGTTAGCTGGGCCAGAGCATGCAGATGAACCACAGCAAGGAAACATCTACCTGGCTTCAGGCTGCTCAACACAGACTAACCTGCGGCTAGACTGCTAGAGGCAATTAATGCCTAATAAAAATGTTCAGAGTGAACTTTTCAAAGTCCAAAATAAGAGTAAGATGGATGAGAACATGGGAGACATCACAGTTCCCCCTCTGTACTGAGAGGAAATTCTTAGATGTGTTTATCATAAAGGCAAGCATCAAAGATCTCTGTCTTAATAAGGGTTGTGGAGCTGTGGGTGACTAAGGAGAACATTAGGGGCCAGAAACTGAGAGGCTGGTACACTCTATACCCAAAACAGCTTGCAAGAAGTTTTATGGGTACCATATGGCAAGGACTGAAAGGACAAGAGTACTGCCAAACAGAAAGCTGGGAGGAGAAGGGGAGAAGCTATCCTGTTCTTTAAACTGAACGTAGGCAGACATGAGCCAGAATTCCCCAGTGTTAAAGTGTTTGTCTTCTGAATGTATTTTGTTCCTTTTGATGCAGGTATACTCATCAGAGTGGGGGTTATGATAAAAAAAATGGCAATACAGGATTTTGGGGGACCTGATATTAAACGGAGCAGTAAGAAATAGGAGCACTACATAAAGGAAAAATTGGAGCAGATTGATTTCCTCCAGGTACCCTTGAGAAGGAGCAGTGGTATTTAACGCAGACGGATGAAAACCTGGGAGACATCACAGTTCCCCCTCTGTACTGAGAGGAAATTCTTATATGTGTCTGTAAACCACTGGAAAAGCGCCCTGATCCTCACAGGTACAGAACCAAACCTCTCCTAGCATAAGAGTGGAAGCATCTGGGAAAGTTGGGCTCCTTCTGGCTTCATTTCTCAACTCCTACAGCTAGATCTGTTCACTTGGATGGTTTTACACAGGACTATCACAACAGGCCGACTGGTCTGTAAGGGACAGGGGGTTGGGGAAGATGCTATGCTGGTACTTGATATCCTCCCGAGATCTCTTCCCATCTGCATTATTTTAGATCTTGCGATATTCAAAAGCCATAATTTGTAATGTAAAGAGGACCGGCATTACTAGCAAATGATCGTGTTTCACTTCCTCAACACCAGATCTGTCTTCTGATGAAAAAAATGGAAAATGTGATGTTTAAAAGCAGACAAATTACAGAACTATCTGTCTTAATGCTTCTGGCAGTGAGGTGTAGGTGCTGGAGCTGACAACTACTGGAGAGTAATGCCATATCAAAAGGGAACATACACTTCTGCCGAGTCTACTTGTCAGCAACGTATGCAGCACCTGCTTCAGCAGCGACGGAAGCAGAGCCAAGCAGGCTTCTTAAGCACCGCTGATAAAACTGTCTGTGCTGCTGCCCATTTCGTAACGTCCCATGGCTCCAGGGAAATACCCATCAGGGCAGAAGGTCACCTCCTGGAGAACGGAGTCAGCAGCAGGTGAAGATGAGCGGGAAATAGCACGGCGGGGAACGGGAAGAACCGTGCGGGAGCACGGCACCATCGCCCTAGGACAGCCGAGAGGTGCTGAGCCACAGGTCCTGTACACCCACAGAAAGCGGCGCCAGCTGCCTTCTGTCACTTACGTCCTTAGTCACGATGGAGATGTTGTTAGGCACTAACAAGTATTGTGCGAGAGTGTCTTCCAGAAGCAAGTGAGGATTTGCCCAATTAACTCTAAAACAGCCCCAACCCCAAGTCACGGTAATCTTTTAACTTCCAAAGCCATTACAAGCCTAACAAAGACAACTGTGGTAAGCAACTTGGTGACAAACTCACGTTCTTAAAAGTGTCCTCACTTCTAATAAGGATAAGATACTCCTGACCTCTCAAATAGATCATGGATACCAATAATCTCACATGAGCTGCAATACATTCAAAGAAAATTTACATATAGAAAGTGTTTCTTCTGCCTTAACTGCACACAGAACCACATTTTTGTTTTTAAGCTGATGTAATTTCCACAACTAGAAAGTTAAAACATTTAATACCTCCAAAGTGACACTGCTAATGTAGTTTTTCACCATCTTTCCAACAACAAAAGGCAACTCTCTATCCAATATGCCAAGTCTTTTATTTGGAAATGGAATGCATAAAACAATGACTTGAACAGGAAAGTCTCGCTCATTTTAAAGAATGTTCTAATTTTATATTCTTTATGACTACTGTATACGGTATTACGAGGTCATTGTCATCAGAAAGGCAAGACAGAAGACCAATAAACTCACAGTATGTAAAGGTGCAAGAGTGATTTTTCAACAGCTACATCCAAAAATGAGTGATGAAGCATTAGAAATACCCGAATATGGTATCCTGGACTTTCAGAAGCTATCCTAGAAGAACCAGTAACTCGATTGTTTTGAAATGGCACAAAAATGGAATCTGCTATACGCATTATTTATATCAGGAAAAATTTTCACGCACTTACATTGAATGGTTGCCATGAAATAGGAGTGCCAAATTAGTTTGCCTACAGCAAAGAACTCCTTCCAAGCAAATCCAAAGCAGGTACAAGATGACTCCTTTCTGTTGCCAGCAGCGTGTACGGAGGACTTCAGTGTAAGAAAGACTACAGCTTGTGACAAAAAGAAGTTATGCACATTTCTGTATCTTTTTGGGACCCAAGGATTCATGTTTTCAGACCTCTGCAGTATTAGAAGTGGATAAAATCCACTTCATAAAGTAGTGACAGACTGCAGGAGTAGACCTGTATTCATCAAGGTTATTAAATTAAGAGTTTCAATCAATGACAAATTCAAGTTAAATAGCCTTGCACAAACAGCATGCAATTTAATAAAGAAACTTAAGAATCATTAGGGTTAATTTGTAAACTTACCGAGCAAAGCAAAACTAGAATTGGAAGCTAGAGTTCTGCTTTTGGGATTTTTTTTAAATTGCATTTTATTTGCTGCTGAAAGGAATGCACTCTGTGTTCCACTTACTGTTGCTAAGAAATTTGCTTTTAAAAATCCATGGTTTCTAGATACAGCTGTGAAGTTTGAATTTTGGTATAGTAATTCAACCTGATTATTTTTACTAACAGATCAAAATACCTCCCTCAATGAACTGTTGCCATGGAATATGGATTTCAAACTGTGGAAAAAGAAGATACCTGTTCTTCACCAGGCTGTTTTTTTTCCTCTGCGTTCAGGTGGTCTGTTGAACCTGTATTGTATTTGAGGAAAATCATTCCACTTGAATGACGTGTGCTTCATCTTATAAATAGAAGGGGGTGGGAGGGAGAGGGGAAAGACCAAGGAATTGTTCCCTTTGAGAGAATCGGCCTAGTGGGTCACCAGGGTACCACATGATGGAGAATTTAAGATACGTTAAGAGACTTTCCTAGCACATAACAATGATTTGCATTATATGAATACCAGCTATGCCAAGAAATCAGAGGGTCTGTCAACAATGCAGAAGGATTTATATAAACTTGGATACATACTGAAAGAAATCACGTTGCAGTTTTTTCAGATCTTCATTCGGTTTAAGACAACTGAAACCCTCTGCCGTGTTGTGGGCTAAGAATGTGGTAGAATTTGAATTTTAACAACCCCACCTCTCTCATCTGGCATTTCCAACTAATTTTTTTTTAAGGCATGAACTTAAATGCTCACATACAACTTTGATCACGATTTCTAGCATTTCCATTATCTCCGTTATCAAATGGGAATGACTTGTAATTAGCATATTATCCAGTATTATACATTTTATTTTTGACAGCCTCTGGTTTGGCAATGATGCTCGATTCTGCTGTGACACACTGGCTTGTTTTTTTGCTTTTCATAGCCTAGTGGCACAGGCACCACACTTCCAGTTAGTGAGTTGTCTTAAAAATGTAGATTTGGATATTAATTGCAATGGTCAGGACACTTAGGTTTTCACCGAGGAGAAGTTTAAATGCAGTTTATTTAATGACATCTGGCAGACTGTGGACCTTGTGAGGACAAAAGAGGATCTTGAAATAGGAGGATATCAAAACTAGATTTTGGCAATATAGAAGATGTATTGTCCATGTAGTTCTGTCATAAGCTTTAAAAATACTCTTATTAAATAAGTTTTTCCTTCCTTAAGACCAGATAATACACGAAGCCAGTAAGAGTCCAGGGGTCAGAATCTTCTTCAATTCTGTTATTCTCTATGAGCTTTTTTTTTTGGCTTTTCTTCATAAGATTCTCCATACTCATTCACTCTGCTCTTATCCACAGGATAAAGCCTGGAAGAAAAAACAAATTAGTTACAATGTTGTCTGCTACCTGGAAGATTCAAGTAGTTCTGTGTTACTTAAATTTAAAAGTTAATTTATTTCTCCCCATATTCTCTATACTTATTTGTGGCAAAAAAATACAACGGTTTTGAAGATTAGCTACAGATACATCAGCTTCTTCACATTAAGACTTAACAAGTTGTCTTGTAACAGGGCCTCTTCAGAGATGTATTTGCTCCCCTAAAGCTCGGCTGGAGTATTTCTCAAGCAACCCAGGATACCTCTCAAACTTGAAACCAGTGTCCAGCCCCTATCAGAAGTCATTGAGCTCTTAACTTCTAGAAAAATACCTTGGAAGGGGACCTGTTTTACTACACTCATGTGTGATTATATAAAGCCAAAACTGAAGCTCACGTTTAGTTATTAATGATCAGACATACACATCCATATATTCTGGTACAATGTGAGCTAGGCTTAAAATTCTTGTTTGCACCACATCTGAATATTTATTCTTGGGAACAAGAATACACTTTCTGTAGCTTCACTTATGAAGAATACTTCAACGATCACTGCCTAAAGCCTTCTTCCCCATCCAATTTTAGTTACTTAAAGAATCTGAAACTTGCCAGATAATCAACTTACAAGAGAACATGGTAACTTGCGTTTGCAACCCAGACAAAGAGGAAAGCAGAGCAGGGCAATCTCTCATGGGAGAACACCCTTTGCTAGCGCCTTGTGGAGCAGCTTGGAAAGCATGCCTCAGATACTGAGCGTAGGTAGGCATGTAGCCCCTCTGCAAGGGGTAGCAGCTGGGAACTCCTACGAGGGTTTGTGAATACAAGCTTAAGAATTGCTCTCCTTCACCTCACTTCAGGTATTCATGCTTCAGGTTAATTTTTTTTTTTCTTTTTGTAACTTGTAAACGTGAAACTATCTGCTGAAAAGGAGGACTGCTGTTTTGGGGAGGGAGAAAGGGCAATTGACAAAAATTATGGGAGTGCTCTGAGAAAAGGAATTTCTTGACTTTCTTTAGCATGCTAAGAAAGGTCCAGGAATACTGTCAGTTATGGGAAAGCGCTTTTGCTCCTCTTATTTGTATTGAGATCTCCTTTTCAGGATCCCCTGCTCAACATTCCCTTCACTAGGCATATACACAACTACCATTATCCAGACCACACTACATATCACTATGATATAAAAATTCTTTATAGCAATAATACTGCAACCATCTAAAGCATTGTAAAAACTCTGATTAATATAAAAGAAAGGCATACCATCTTTGGTAAAGATAGACCAGGAACACGACATCATCTCTAAAGCATGCCAGCCTATGAGATGTTGGCATAGTGATGATAAAAGCAAATATATCATCAATAAAGGTGTTGAATGCCTAAAAATAAAAGAAAAGTATACTTCAGTTGGCTGTGAAGAAAGGAAGTCATCCGTCATGCAAAGCTACAGGAAACAAGACTTCCTAGAACTGTATTTTTCAGAAGGAACACTGACTTCTTCCATATTTCTAACAATACTTACGGGTTATGCTGAAAAACTAATTACTACAAACTTTAAAGTGCTTTGTTTTTCATGAAGACCATGCTGTCTGCTCCAGACCACACAATTATACTTACAGGTAAAAAGGAAGTAAGACTACTACAGGTAAGTGAGAGTATTGTCACGCGAGGGGAAAACTTCAGTGAAATCCTTAAAAGAAACTGGCAAAACACTTTTATACATTCATTACTCAAATGATTGAAGATTTACAAAATGTCAGTTCACTTTCATTTCTGTAAAATGTAAACAAGTAAAAACTTGTTAATTTACTGCTCTTAAGAATGTTAACTTGACAGCCTTGGAGAGATTTCAAAATATTTTCAGTGCTCTCCTGCAAGTAATCATTCAACCCTTATCTGAGACGTAATTTTCTACACCATTTCCACTCAGCTAGGCATATATAGGTTCTCTTTCTGAAGCAATAACGAAGTATTTTCTCACCGCTTCTTCCTGAGTAAGAAAGTTCAAATTCCCAGATATCTGCTGGGAAAGCAATGCAAACAGGCTCTGAGCATGCAAAGGCAACAGTATTTTGTCAGAGAAGGTAAAGAAAGTGAACAGAAGCGCAACTCCTCTGGATCTGGCTTTCGCCTACAGGGAGGACCAGCAATTGACTCTTACAGTGCACTGGCTCCAGCACTCATCATATGGTGCAAAAAACTGTTTCAACTCACTAAAAACCACAGGAAACAAATCCAGCAAAGAATATTCAGTGTTAACAAACTGAGTCAGTAACTTGGTTTCTCCTTTAAATATTAGCAAGCTGTACATGAATCCATACCATAAGGGGGAAAATAATGTATTCTTTAAGCAGAGGAGGACTTGCTCTTCAAAATGAACCAAAGTTTATATGACGAAACAACGCATCAGCAGAAGAAGGGGTGTTGGACAGGAAAGAGTTCTGATCAGTTACAACAGGAAAGCTCTTTCTGGCAAGTCAAAACAAGTCCATCAATATGAAGTGATCAAATATGGCCGGCACTTCTCAAGCCTGTGCAAAAAAGGTTTGTCATGGAGAAAAAAAAACTTGGCAAGTTGGAAGAGGCAGCCTTTCAAAGTCAACACCCAAGTCAGTGATCCTACAATGATGAAAGGAAGAAAAAGCTAAACGCTTCATGCACTTAGGCAGTCCTCATAAGCCACAGAAATTGAATGCATCAAGGCAGCCCATCTAACAGTATTTAGTCTATAGCCAGTTTTCTTTTGAGATGACTTCATTTGAAGGTAGTCCTCAAAGAATTATAAAGAGCATAAACATAAAGACTACAGAAACTGGAAAGTGAGACTGATCTTCATTTTTGCCAAGGCCTACCAAAACAGGAAAGAGTTTAAATTAAGGAAAAAACCAGATTTCTAAAACAGCAATTGCAGATGAGACCTCAGACTATTCTTTCCACTCTTCAAAGTGCAGAAGAGAGCAAGCAACTTTAAATATCCACTAGGAAAAAGTAAATTACCCCCTCCAAAGACCAGTAAGTTAAACACAATTGAAAACACCATATACTTCTTTCTACATACACACAAGTCTCTGTTGTGGGTAGCCTCTGGCATCTTAACAGGAATCATAAATGCTCTGTAAGAAAAGACTATTCAGCAAGAGAATTCTACTGCTTTATATGTTACTTGCTTGAATACTGTCCCTTTGTTGGCTATTTAACTGCTGATGTCTCTGCTCAGTTACTGTATTTTGTTACTGAAGTAAAATTTTGAAATTACTTCACTAATGTACCTTTTACTCCCCTCTAATAAGAAACATGCTGATTTGCCTCGGCTACCTCTGAAACACTAGATTTTATTTTTTTTTTTACTGTATTTCCATGTTGGACAGTTTAGTTGCTATTCTGCTATCAGCTATATTTCAATCTGTTTTCCTAGATGTCCCACGATTCCTTAAAAATGTTAAGGCAGCAGAAAGTTGAGCTATTACTGTAGGCTCAGGGAAATGCAAAAGCTATGAAAGGCAGTTCAAATTTTAAGGTTTTAGTTCTTTCGTCCCAGATCATCTGTTCAGAATTGGACACCATGTCTTGAGCAGTTTTTACTCCTGTTTCTTTTAAAGTACTAATGTTCTGGAGAATTGTAATACAATAAGCACAAAGGAAGAATAAATGAAAGCATTTATGAGTGGAAGCAGAAGAAAACATGGCACACGCTGATGGCATCAAGGGCTTGATGATCCCAGCACATCCATCTAGGGTTTCTCAGGACACAATGATCAGGAAAACAAATGACAGTACAAAAACCCCAATGACTCACAGAGGTGGGAAAGGACAGAGTCAAAATACTATCAGCTCTTCAGGGGTACAAGAACAAAACTAGCATGTAGCTGTTGACTGAGGAAGAACATAGGAGACACAGGAACTCAACAGTGGGTGTCCCTTGTCCTCCATATCAGCATAAGGAATCCTGACTGGGATACTCTGGTACATCCACCTTGGTGCCTACACAAACCACTTGGACACACATGTGGGTGCTTGTGGGTATGGAGGTACCAAAGTGTTAGTACGTTGAGTTTGTTTTGAAATGAACTCACCTTCCCCTCCTCCAAGGTCTGGTGTTAAGCTTTGCTACAGCATCGCATTATTTCCTACAAGGGCAGTCTAGGCAGTGGGGACACCACAGTGCAACCCCTTTTCCACTGTAACAACCCACCACAAATTTGTCACTACAGTGCCCAGAAGCTTGGAATTACCACCCCAGCACAGAACAGCGTGTACATTACTTCAGCCTCTGGTAGCTCCTGGAACCTGCCAAAACAAGGTCTCTTAGTGGTCCTACCTGTTTCTTGAGAACTATCCTTTGTTAATATAATCTCTCTCTTCCTAAAATAATGTATTAAATTGAGACTAATCAGTTTATTTGCAGGACCAACATTTGCTACCACACTGACAGTAGAAAGAACCCCAGTATTATCATCAAAACTAGGATGCAGGTATTCTCATTATATGGAAGTAATTATGAAAAATGGAAATCAATGTTTCTTTTATTTTTTTTAAGACATTTGCAAACAAATTTGGTTTTACTGTCAGTTTAATTCTTAAAACAAACAAACAAAGCACTGTCAGCCCTAAGCTACATAATACTAAGCTGTTTCTCACAGAAAATTATTTCCAAAATGACCTTCTTTAAAGGCACCGATCTTTAAATTAGAGCTTTACTTACTTTGTATGTGAAAGCCTTCCACGGTAAGTGTGCAACAGATTTCATCTAGGATTAAAAATATCAATTTGTAATAAATTCTGGAAGACTAAAAAAGTAGTCTTTTATCACTTTTCAGTCTTACCTTGTAGTTTACAAACAGCTGGGGCAGCATAAACAGGAATCCAAAAGCATACACTCCTGATGATAAAAGACAAGCAGACAAACGTACAATAGATGTACACCACACAACTATACTTCCACAATTAGAGATTTACACTCATTTTCCTAAAGACAGAAGATGCATCTAATCCTTTTGTTTCACTTGGGGTTGATTCTTCTCCCTTTCTCAATTACTGTGATAATTTTGGAACCTACAGTCAAGTTATTGCTCTCTACTGCGCTACGTTACACTGATCCAGCTGACAGCAGTTAAGTTTTCTACTTTTGAGTCTTGGCCTCCGTTTGAAGAAATACGAATAGAAAAAAAAAAAAACATAAGAAGGGACTCACCGTTGACAAAGCTGTTAATCAACCAGGAGTACCAGCTACAAAGAAAGACGACAGCCCAGTTACTTTTTAACCTCAGCCAAAAATATACACCTGTAATACATCCTCTGCATGACTGTATGCTGACTACTACAAGACTCTGCTGTGAATTAATTACTTTACACAAGAACTAAATACCTTGCATCTTCCTTTGATTAGGAAGGGCTCCAGAGAAGGTGTTAACAGTTTAAGCAAAGGATGTTTATCAGTGCATCCAACAAGTTTGGAGAGCTTTATCAACTCCTTTTATACTTTTTCAGAATGTTCTAAGACTTCTGCACCCAAAATGACACCAGATAATACTGCGCACTGAACCCTGACTGTATTAAGGCTCACAAAAGGTAATGCTGTATTCTAAATACTAAACAGACACTTAATATGGAACTGTAAGGACTCATCAAATTTCAAACAAATACCATTCAGTGCAAACCACTACAGTAAGCACTCAAAAAAAAAAAAAAAAGTTAAATACAAGGAATCTTCATTTTTGTCTCCTTACATCTAAAAATCCCTCTCAGGTGTTCAAAAAGGCACAATCTTAGCAACGTAATAGTGTTACATATATTGGTCAGATGCCATACTTCTGCTGGCAATAATAAGAGCAGCTAGTAATTGTGATGCTCAGGTTACATCATGTAAAATTAAGCTTGCAAGGCTGTGTTAGTGACTTGTTAACAGCGACGTTACAGCTGTAGCAGCATTTCACTAAATCTACATGCATATGAAAAATGCATCAGAAAATGCCTGCAAGATTAAAGGATAATCCACTGTTAAGATTACTTGTTCCATCACATTTCCTTACAAATAGATCTAACAATGATAAAAATTCTATGAAATCAACTGTTTTCACTTTCTTAAGCTACAGCTCACAGAATACCCGGCATATAAATTTTGCAGTACTGAACGAATTTAAGAATTTTGTGAGAAAAGCAGAATCTTTAAATGCTGCATATTTGTTAGCTCCTTACTAAGACAAGAACCTTTTGAAAAAATTATTTTCCTAATAGCCCGGAAATTGCCCCAGTTTCTAGTACAAGAGCTATGGCCCACGTGTGCAGCAACAGCATCTTTCTGACGTTATTTTAGAGTACTGCTTGCTCTCCCTCCCACCCCTTCGGGGCCTAAAGACTATTAAAAAATATGTGTACATGGCCATCACTGTGCTTGCATTTGCAGATTTTTTTCTACAACAGACTCATGGCTGCATACTTGCTTGCATCTCTCCAATACAAAATGAACTAGCGGTATTATTTTGTGTGAAAGTGGGCAGGAGTTTCACCTTTTCATGAAATACTGAGCCTTCAGCTCTGTTGCTGTATATATGGCTCTAAAGGAATAGAGAGTCCTTTCTTAAAAAAAAACGCTTTTGCTTGCTTGCCATCCAGGCTATCACATTCAGGAACAGAGGAACCTTTTGGTCAGAGCAAATAATTTTGGGACAGTTTTTGCTTCTCTGTTATTGGACAGGTTTAACCACTGAATTCCTCTCATGTCTCCTGTCACCTTATCAGTTCTCCGAACATCAACGGCAGCTTTCTTCCTCCTCTTCTGATTCACAGCTTACTTGTGTACGTAAGCTACTGAATTCTATACTACAGAAATATCAGGTTACTTGCTAAATACAACAGCCTGTAGCTTACAGGATGTTAAAAAGCCAGCTAGACCATAGGTAGATCAGCTTTAGATCATACAAACAAGGACCTTTCTGGTTCCTAGTTTATGAATCAAGCAAAATAAAATAACTGACTTCCATAACCCATCATCTCCAATTAATTAATATGGGGAAATGGGGAATGTTTCAATTCTGTATAAGATTGTTTATAGATTTACAGTACCTTTTGTATTTGACATTCAGCAAGGAGTAACCTGCACCTCCAATACACAGTGGGTAGAGCAAATATGACAAGTATTTCATAGCCTAATAGACAACGAAAATAGTTTGTTAGCTTACATTTTATGTACAGCAGATTTGTCGTGGCATTAATTGAAAGACAGCCACCTAATTTTTTTCCTGAAAATCTTTTCCTATTTCCAAATGTCTACTATTATTTCCAGTATGCTTCCAGTTCTAGAGAAGGTGGTGAAAATTCCAATGCTCAGTTCAGACCACCAAGGACCTTAGAGCGTAAGCAACAAGAGGCAGCATGAAGATCAGAGACTAAGAGTAGCTCTCTGCCTAACTTCCTGATTTCTTCAGCTCTTTTCAGAAATCAGGAAGTACATGGACATTCCTTCAGTGTAAGTAACAAGTACCAATATAAATTTTCAAATTTGTCAATGAAGACCCTTTAAGATATTTCTCTTTGGAAAAGTCACTTGCAATTCTGCTTCTCAGAAAAATGTGTCAACCAGATTCAGCTAACAAACAACTTTTTCACTGTTTCTTTTCATAAATTATTAGAATGAATCTTCACTCTCTGATCATCCATATAATGATGCTCTACTTGACAACTATGAGAAAAAGGAAAAGACACTTGTAGCAATACAGAGTAAAACAAATCAATCAGCAGGCCACATACATAGACTTTACAGATCAGAAATCACAAGATTCCCACTTACCTGGGTATCATATTCCTCAGTTTTCTTTTCAGAGTCACTGTATGTACCAAACTGCAATACATATAAAAAGTATAATAAAGTCAGAACTGGGGGAAAAAGCCCTTGCTGTCCAACTCCCTAAACAGAGATTTAAACTGCAAACACTAAAGACTGAAAAACTGTTTCTCCTACCAACAAGGGAAACTTTCAATGTAGATTGTACTTTAAAAGTGTTAATTTGAATCCCAGCTGCCTCTGTATGTCCTGCAAACATTCTCAGGACTTAAATTTTTACCCAGAGGATTTGTCAAAGACTGTCCTGTCCCCAGAACATGCCACATCTTCTGCTAGTTCCACAACAGAGAAGTTATACCTACAGCTTCATGAAAAATTCAGTTTCTTACTTCAAATCATGATGTCAGTTAAGACTGCCTTTCCAACACAGCGGCAGGAGCACAGTCCCACCCATTAAGATTTAGCAGGACTGACAGAGGAATTCTGAAGTTCTCACACCACAAATACCTTTTTCTTCTACAAAATTCATCAAAGAAATTCCTAAATTTGAAAATTCTCATCCAGCTTTTGGATTAAGCCATCCACAAAGAGAAGATGTATATAGGAAGCTTTTATAGTATTTTTTCAATCTTCATTTCACTGAAAGCCAAGTTGAACAGTAACCTGGAAACAGATGGAAAGCTCAAGAGAGTAATCATTAACAGGCCAATGTCTACTATACCTGAATTTTGGGTCTCAAGCCTTGCCACTTGATTGTCATTTTCAAAGCTTTCTTCACTTTCCAGAGCTAGGATTAGCAAAAACAAAATGTGCAGATAAAGAATTATCCAAAGGAATGTCTTATACAGGATTCAGATACTCAAGAATCAAGACCCCAGGATATCTATTTTAAGCACCCATTGCATAAAGCAGCAACAGCTCGACTGCAGCACACTGCCCGTGTCTTTATACAAACCAAATGCTGTGTCACCTGACAAGGACAACATTGGGAGCACACGCTATTAAGTTTTCCGTATCAGATGATGTACTTTAAGTGAAATAATGTAGTCCTTCCAGGATATCTGGATCACTGCGCTTAGGTGGGGTTTAGCTGCTCTCAGCACCAGCATGCCCCCCCAGGCCAAGCATTTAGAAAATTCTCCAGTAACCACCTGCCAAGCAAGTTTTCACATGCCTTTGAGATCGGCTGGATTCTGCAAGGTAAAGGTGCCTCAGAACTCCTAAAGTAATTAAGTGGGCACTTGCACGGTCATTACATTTCAGTAGTGGGCTACAAGCAAAAGCCAGTGAACCCACTGGACTGTCTGACTACTTACTGTACAGCTGCAACTGGTTGACCCTAATGTAACCAAAGGTTCAATGCACCTGAAAATTTACTCAGGTACCCAACCCTGCTATACAGATTCAGCAACTTGGGCAATGCAGTAAGCTCACCAGGAGAGCTATGCTCCACGAAGCTTTTCGTGGACAAGGTTTGTTTGTTTAACTTTAGATACACCGATATTCTCTTCTCACTCATCATATCTTCCAAATAAAAAAAGTGCAATACGTTAAAAGATGATTCTTTACTGTCATCTTTGATGCAAGTGAGAAAATTACTTATTACAGAAGCACTGTCGCTATTAGTGCTGCGTGAGAAACTGGTGTTAAGAACAAGTTGTGAAAAAGCAGACAAATTCCTGAGATGTATAGTCCTTATGTTCATTCTCACCTTGAGACAACCATGTTATCTCCTCATCACTTGAGAATAGAGATATGTTACTTCAACAGAACCTACAGAACATTTCCCCTCCATTTAAGTGTCCCACACAATTTTCCTATATAATCCTTTCAACCCAGTTCCCCCAGCCTGCAGTTCAAAAGCAACATGCTGGAAAATAAGGTGCAGGAGAAAGACAATAGGAGCCACACAGTCACAGAGGCTACAGATCTGAGAGAGATGTATGTAACAGATATTTGGGCAGCTCCAAGAAGAATCTCAGACAGGCACAATGACCAAATGAGATCTGGACCTGCCTGAGCTTGGGTAGTGGCAACCAAGAAATCCATGTTCATTATAAAAGAGAAATGCAAAATCTTAACAGTATTAATTGAACTTAAATTCTGTAGCATAGCTGATCATTCCTGTTACCCTACCATACATGCCTGATTTGGCTTCCACTAAAACGTCTTAAAAAAACCAAAGTGATTTAGAGACCAGGGCTATTTCTTCTTCCCCACTAGAAACAAATAAAAGTGTAATTTTTCTTGACCTGATATGTTTTTAAATCATTTGACACTGTTGAATTTCTGAGGTCTTCAGATTCAAGGATTTTATTAAATTTAGTTATTTAGATATAGGATCAAAATAAAAGATATTCTACAAAAGGAGTAGCATACTTATAGGGATATATATTTATCCTTGAAACTGTTAAAATTTCAGACAGCTCAAGGAAGTTTGAAATATAAGACTAAATTTCTATTCATAAGAACGAAACTACCGGCAAATCTGATACAGAAAACTTAACAGAGAAATACATCAGACTTAAAAATCTCATCCTACTGAAAAAATATGTCAATGAAATGGTACTATTTAGGACACCGCTGTTCATAGTTTTCACAAGACCTTAATCTGATTTATACAATAAACTGAAGTTTAAGGATCGCTTTGTGACTTTGCATTTAATCACTAACTAAAAATTCAGATCTGTTTTGTTTCCACAGGGATTATCTGCAACTACAACAGATGTGTAGTCAAAAGTTTCACAGGAGAGCCCTGAAGTTATTTTTAATTACTGAGATGTAATTAGATTTGCAAGTAGTGATAGGTAGAAAGATCTCCCCTTCCCACTGCTGCTGACTTTGTGCTTTACTACACATGATCTGCTGGCATAACACACATAGCCAGCAGCCGCCTCCTTCCCACCTTCCCCAAGCACCTCAGTCGTGGCCAGGGAGAAGCACACCTGCGGCACTGCCTGATGGCACACAGCCTGGTCTTTGACAAAATGTTTCCGTGAAGGCTCATTGACATGGTTATACATGCCTGGTCAGGAGTGATGCCTACCACATGGTGTGATAGGAAGGAACCTCGGCATAGCTCTGTGTTTGGTTTCCACAATACCAGTTGGCCCATCTAGCAGTATTTTTCCAGTAACTAGTTCAGCATTCCTTTCCTACAATAAACTACAGATGTTGCTGTGAATACTGGTATTTGGTTCTAGAGCTTTAAGAACCCACCTCAATCACTGCACCAATGCCTGCTGGGATCAGTACCAATAAACTTGTTTGTTCATCCAAAAGGAAAAGAAATATTACCACAGTACTGAAGCAGCGCCAAAGCACTAGATGGAAAAAACCAAAAACAAAAGGCTTATTAATATTTAAATGAATAGCTGAGATGACAGAAGACTGTTGGCCTATTTACTATAGTTCTGCCTTACGCAGTTTAAGCATGAACTTCTCTAACATACATCTTGATATATCAAGGAGTCCTAGAAACAGCCAGTGAACTGTATAGCTCCAGGCAAATAAGGAACAAAAACATTTTATGAAACCCTTATCACAAAAGATGAAAGGAAACCAGAATAGTTAAGGAAGACTTCTGTACTGCAGCAATTCAGCAATGTATCAGTACTATTATGAACTATGTTCATGGTTCTTGTCTTGAGGAAGCTGAAAGGGTGTGAAGTAATGTAATGTCATTCTTTGAAACTCATGCAACTAATTTAATGTTTGTAAATGTTAAGAAGTATATTTTAGGGTTATTTTTCAAGTTTTGCAAAACCTTGGATGCTTGTAAGTGTCTACCAACTAATTCTTAGATTCAAATATCCATCCCCCTAAGCAGGAACAGAAAGAGAGAAGAGCTACAATACACTCAGGCACCGACAATTACACTGTACCATTCCAGAGCAATTGCCTGTCACTCTTCTCCCTCAGAGCAAGAAGGACATACAGGCAGAAGGGTGACTAAGGCTTGCTAAAGAGGGGACACAACCATCAGTTGGAGACTGAAGATTGATGCTTTGATAGTAAGGTTAAAAAATCCTTTGTCACTCAGTCTTCCCAATTTGACTTTACTCACTTTTTAAACTGGAAATTAACACTTAATTCTGAAGTTTCATGGACCATTTTGAATTTTTACTAGCTTTTTGGCATACATATGCCAACAGCAGTATAAATGCCTTACAAAAACAAAGGCACTCCAATAAAGAAGACAAGCAGATTTTCCACATGAGAAAAACATATTGCTGTTCATTGTAATTTAGAATGCTTAATTTTCTTCTTGGTATCGGTATTCCTCACATGTTTTAATCAATCTGTGTGTGTGATAGAATTCAGAATAGTCCCAGAGGTCAGGTGACTCCAGGTTTATCATTTTGGTTTATAATCAGAATGGAAAAATCTATTGGAGAAACAAGTACTAAGTATTAGCACAATAAACAAAGCTGGGAAGTGGTGTGCTAAACCGCAAGCATCCGGGGTCGGCTACTACCTTCATCGGTCTCTAGTGTGGCTTGGCAGGATGTCAGACTGCTATGTGTGTCTCATGTTTCCTACACCTAAGACAACTCGAGGTTACCTCTCCTCCGAGCTTCTACTGCTCCTATTTACACCAAAGCCCAATCAAGCAACCGTTACACTACAGCATTTTCCCTCCCAAGTATTTTGGAACCTGTAGGTATTTACAAGGAACACATGGGACTCACAGGAGAGCATAACCCATGATAGCACATTCTCTCCACCCACAGGATTTTTTTCTGGTCCTCATTCTTTTCTCAAAGTATTCTTCTGTTCCTTCAGCAAAGAAAATCTGGTGACTGACTTGGTATTAAACTTATGCTCAATTATAAGACAGTCAAACCTCAGAAGTGACACAAGTGCTTAAAAGCAAGTGATACTTCAGCACAATGCTAGCAAAGTTAGAATCAGCCGGTTAGCCATCTTCTTTCATACACAAAGACATCTCATTCCACCATCTTGGTGAATTTACAAAGTTTCAACTCAAGAGTAAGACTAAAAGCCACACTATGTATTAGACAGCACATGCACAACACTTTGCGTTCTGGCCCATACCTGCTTTTGTAGACATCCCAATCATGCTCCTCTTTTTCTTCCAAAAACTGATGTCATTTTTGAATGCAAGGAAATCAAAGAGAAGCTGCAAATAACAAGAAACACACTGATTTATTCAAACATGCACTTGTTAAAGACTACCAGCTGAACGGCTAAAAATGCATTTAAGGTGGAATCGTAAGAAAAACCTGTTTTAGAAGCCTCAGAAATAAAAATTAAATACCACAAGCAAAAAGCTAAAACGAAAAACCGTTTTAGAATCCCAAGCACCAAAAGCAGTGCAAAATTACATGGGAAATTCCAGGTACTGCTACTGCTACAATGCTGCATCCGGTGAAGAAAGTTAGTGACCCAATACAGGGTAACACATGATAGAGGATGAAGAATTGCGGACCCTGAGGAATTGCTTGCCTCCTTGACAGACCAGGGCAAGCCATGCTAAATTAGATTCAAAGTGCTTTGTATTGGATCGATAGTCAATTTAGGCTTGGATAGTACCAAAGTTTTTTAAAAATTCCTAAAATATAGCAAGTAATTTTCTCCTCTCTATTTCATCTCCAAGAAGTAGATCTGAACCTCAAGGACATTTTAGCATTAAATTTATTGTTACTGAGTATTTTTTCCAGAAATTTCAGTATTTTTGTTCAGAACAGAATAGACTGTTTCAGTTGGAAGGGACCTAGAAATACCATGTACTCCAACTGCCTGAGCAATTCAGGGCTGACCAAAAGGTAAAGCATGTTATCAAGAGCATTGCCCAAATGCCTCTTAAACACTGACAAGCTTGGGGCACTGATCACCTCTCTAGGAAGCCTGTTCCGGTGTGTGACCACCCTCTCGGTAAAGAAATGCTTCCTAATGTCCAGTCTAAACCTCCCCTGGTGCAGCTTTGAACCATTCCCACGTGTCCTGTCACTGGATCCCAGGGAGAAGAGCTCAGCACCTCCTGCTCCACGTCCCCTCCTCAGGAAGCTGCAGAGAGCAAGGAGGTCGCCCTTCAGCCTCCTTTTATCCAAACTGGATGAGCCCAAAGTCCTCAGCAGATCCTGACAGGACATGCCCTCCAGCCCTGTCACCAGCTTTGCTGCTCTCCTCTGGATGCATTCAAGGACCTTCACATCCTTCTCAAGTGGTGGGGCCCAGAACTGCACCCAGCACTCCAGGTGAGGCTGCACCAGCACTGATTACAGAGGGATGCTCACCTCTTTTGACCAGCTGGCTATGCTGTGCTTAATGCACCCCAGGATGAGGTTTGCCCTTTTGGCCGCCTGGGTATTTTTCATTATTTCCTTTAGTCATTCACTGTCTTAAAAAAGCAGCACAGATTCAATAAATACTTGGGTCAGATAATTTTAACGAAAAAGTGTATTTTTTTTAATTTGGTCAAATTATACACAAAAGAAAAAAAACATTGGAAGAGTGAGTCCCAGCCTACAGATATCTTAAAACCTAATGAGCAGAAAGGAAAAAAATAAATTAAAATGGCTGGGAAGCCTAAGAGTTTCCAACCAAATTATTTGTATGTAATGTAAGTATAAAGAAACATAACACGCCCAGCAAGTTTTTATCTATTCCAGAATATGGGAAATGTATTGAGCGTAATTGTAGATAACAAAAATGTTCAAAGTAGAACAATGAAGTCTAAAAAAATTGTTCATTAAAACAAAGTTCATATTTAAACCAAGACACACACAATGCTGACAGAGAGACACAACAACTGCCAACCATGCCTAGAGCCACAAGCTTTGCACTTCACAGTGACAATTTTTTGAAGTAATCTAGATCAGCTGATCTAAATTTCTCCAGGGGTTAGAAGTCAGAGACTCAAACCCTACTGTTGGTGCCAGAGCTATGCCACTGCAGCAGTAAACTTTGTGATAAAACTCAGCTTAGCAGAAAATGCAAACCAATGTTGACAGGCATATTAACTCTGGGTGCTTTGGTTCAGCTAAAAAAAAAAAATTTATGATAATGAAGTTAAATGTTTTATATTTCAGTAAAGACTGTTTAGTTTATCTCATATTTCTATCTTCTTTGAGATTTTTGTATTAACTTGGTATTGGAAATACAGCTGATTTGTACCAGAAACCTCTATCGCTCTACTGAAATTACCATTTCCAAGAACAGTTCTCAATAAATGAGAGAGCTGGAAGTTCAACCCATGCCCACCCACCCCCTTTTTTTTTTTTTATTTCATATGCTGTAATTCCTAAAAAGCAAGTTTCTCCACTTACATGAAATGCTGCTACGAAGAATGTCAAAGCCAGAAAGTACAGGTTAGTATCAACAAAAATTCCTTTTACTTCATCTGCATCCTTTTCTGAAAACCCTGAGAGAAAGAACAAGCACTTATGCAAGAAGTACTAGACAGTTAATTGCTGTTATGCTAGAGTCCAGCATGAAAGGAATCTTATTTCACCTGCACATGTTTTATTAAGGAATCATAAATCCAAAACAAGATGGCAGCTTTATCATTAAGACCCAAGCCTACCTATATTTTGGCTAGTTATTTGGCTTGCCTTACACAAATCCCATCAGTTACAAGCAGACTGACGTGCCTTTGACATGTTGTGCAACTACAACCCAAGCTGAACACCAGAAACACAAATGGCAAGACACAGGAAGTCATTCTGGCCCAAGTGGGAAGAAAAATGATTATTCAACTTGCCCTCTGAGCTTTTATTTGATACATAAGAAAAGTATGCTTCACATTAAAAGCTGAAAAAATGAGAAAAGGACTACACTGTAGAGGACGACAAAGGTCAGTGGGAAATGTGGCCATATATGCAACAGTATAGACCCTAGATTGTGGATTAGGCATCAACTTTTTTGACAGTCCTTGCAGAATTAACTTGGAAGCTTCTCTTTGATAAATGGGAAAAGGCAAAGCATCTTCCAGAAATCACAGTCTGTAAGCTGAGTACATATTCTCTACTGTTTTATCAATTCTCCTAAAGGAGGAACGTTGCTTTCTTGTTATATACTGGATGACCATTAATTAAAAAAAAGTTAGAGCCTGTCTGTGCTAAATATGGTTGCCACCACCAAGGAGCATGTTTTCCAGAAGATACTGCATCCCTTTGAACTCCTTCAGCCAGTGTTAAAGTGCTTTCTTCATGAAGTAGGAAGTTCCAGCCACTGTGATTGAAGTCTACCATTCTCAGAAAACACGCAGTGCTGCATTTACGGCAGCAGTGCTAGTTATGACACTGGTCAGTTCAGTACCTATTTACTTTATCATATCAGCTGTCCTGCATCACAGTGAGAAGAATGTGAACTTACCCATTTCAAGTGATTTTGGAGTTTTGCTACTGATCTAAAGTGACCTTTTCATAAGTTATTCCAAAAGGAGAATTTCAAATCTTACGTTTCACTATCTGTATACTTATAGAGAACAAGCAGCACCTTTGGTAAGCTTTTTTTTTTCTTCCAGGCAGAGAAGATACTCCTGGGATGATACGTCTTGATATACATGTCCATCACAAGACAGACAAAACATGGAACATGAAAATTTCAATTATGCCATTCTGAGGAGGCTCATAAAAATTTATGGAGAAATGATGGTGGTCAGATGCCCCACACAAACTCTGAGCAAGCAGCTACTTGAATCTTCCAAGAAAGTTATTTTAAGCAGACATACTTCTAGCTTTGATATACATTAGCCTGAGCTAAGGAGAGGCAGCTGGACTCTACTTAGGGTGACCTTATTCCTTACCTGCCCTCCCTCCCCCAACAAAACAGGAGAAAAGCTTAAGATGCAAAAGAAATGGAAGAATTCTAGACTCTCAGTTAAGTTACACTGTATACAGGTACTGTGTCTTACGCTACTACACTCTGAAACTAGTGCTGAACCAGAACAGGTTGAGTTTTTTTCCAGAAGAATCAATGCCTTAAAAGCTGTCAATCATAAAATGTTAATGCAGAGATGACAGTGAATAACCAAAACCTCTCCCTCTTACTGACTAAATTTTGGTGAACAAAGAACAACACTGAGTAGTATGGAAGCAGTGTTATCCCTGCATGTGTCTCTTGGGAAACTAGTAGAATACTGCATCTATCCGCATTTAAAAAAAAAAATAAACTGGGAAGGATTTAAGAATCATTAAAATAATACAGCACAGAAGCTTTTAAGACCTCTTGGCCTGAAAAAAAGTTCAAATTGCTGTCTGAAGAGCTTAAAAAGAGAGGATCAGAAAAAAATCCTACATTCATATACATCAACACCAGTTCAGTTATGATGTAGTTCCTTACTCTAGCACAAAGAAGCCAACTATGGTCTAGTGAGAGAAAACTAAGTCAGCAAAGATAACTCTGAAAATAAGATGCAGATTTTTAAGAGTGATGATTAGACTTACAGAGGCATACATCAGTGGAACAAACATTTAAAGATGGTTTACCATTGCCAACACAGACCATATGTACTTCACAGTGAAAGTGTACACTTACTCCATTACATGTAAGTGAAACACAGAATTTAACAGTTTCATGCATGTAAAGCCTCCGGTTTATCTGAATTACCTTATAATTTTGTAACTGAGCTGAAGTGAGAAGCCAGCCAGTTCTGAGGCATTAGAAGGTGTATGATCAGAATACATATTCTTTCTTCATGCTCAGCTTGAGCCCAAAGACTTTGCTGTGCATACCTGTATTTCACTGTAGGTATATGGCTACAGTGACCAGCTATATATAGCTTATATTAAAGCTTACATGACACTGATCCAGCTTTTCTGTTCATGGATGATAGGGGAAACCCGTGGTGAAAATTCTCTCCTCTGTTTTGGCCTCTTATGTTTTTACCGTAGTACTATCCAAATAAAATTTATTTTAAAAATGGTTAGTTCACCTCTATTCTTGTTTCCTACCACATGTCAACATTTTATTTTCAACTTTACCTCAAGGTAAAACAATGTAAGATTTGTAGCATTAAACCTTTTCACCAGTTAACCAGAAAAAAAAGAGAGAGTTAAATGTCAGCTACGTACTGAGGCTTTTTTTTTTTTGGCCTAAGGTCATTAATGATAAAAAACATACCAAATTGTTGGAGGGAGTACACAGCATCCTGCATGTGGATCCAAAATCGGAGTTTTCCAAGAGATATTTTGTCATATGACACTGTAAGAGGTAGCTCTGTTGTTGAACGATTTATAACCTATATTTCAAAAAGACATAGTTTCATTTTTAATAGAAGAAAAATTGCAACATTCAGTTTTTTAAAAATAAAGGAAAGCGATTATATCACACTATGATTTAATCACACAATTTTAAGAGGTCAGTTTGTTTTTTGAAAGGGAGTAAGATCTTAGACTTCTATACTATGTTTGAAGTCTGGAGTTTTTTTTCCAAGAAATGCTAAATTAGCAGTTTGTTCTGTTCAAGTTCTTACAGCAACCTCACTGTTACTCTGAGATGTTTACATAAAGTTCCTTCTGCTGGTCTCATCTCAAGTGGGAAAAGCATGCTTAAGGTAACTCTCCCTTTTGACAGTTTTTCTCTGAATATATAAGCTAAGATTACCAAAGCTAGAAGATTAAAAACAAAAAGAAAAAAATCCTACCACAAAGGCCACACACCGAACTTTACTAAATTGAGGCTGGTTTTGAGAGAAATTACAACTCATACCAAAACAAAAAGTGGGGAAGCACGATGATCCTGCTGGCTTGGACTGGTGAAAACACCACAGCTAAAGCTAAGCAAGCTACTCTGCCTGCAAAACCGGGATACGGGGTGTCACAGAAATCTTCCTGCTCCAAGAGAAATAAATATATACTTTAGTTATGATGAGAACTACCTGGGGCCCCCTTAAACTGTGAAAGAAAAAAAGGTCTTAAATTGCCTCAGCTCCTTCTGCATGCTAGGTGACTGTCTCTCAAAGAAGTTTAGAACAAAGAAAAAAAATTGTCTTCACAGATGTTAGAATTCTCTGCAGCTACCTAGGTACAAGTTCAGGCAGTATGTTTTGAACTTTTAAGGATAACTCAAGACTACAGACAGGCAGGCACTCTGAATTGCAACAGTTCAAGATCTATTGCTCCCAGCTCCTAATTACTTCCCAATCATAATTCCCATCTCAGAACTGCTACTCTACAGCGTATCTGTTTCTAACTAATTAGTTAGCTGACACCTATCAGAGATGAACAGGCTTCTTGTGATCCTTATGTTACAGAACATGGTTTTAGCCTCCCTGGGTATCAGTCAGGTGTGACCTGGAGATTACATTCACCTTCCCATTCACCGTTTCCTCCTGTGAATACAAACGATTCTCAATCTCACCGCCCTCCCAAGATCTTATAAGCGTTTCAGGCAGTGGCAGAACATGCATGCATGCAAAGGAGAGAAAGGGAAGCTGAGAAAGTTTTATAAATACATCAGGGAGAAAGCCTGAAAACTGGAATGGTGCCAGGGATCTCTCAACTCTCTGGAAAAATAAAAAAAAAAACAAAAAACAAAAAAAACCCAAAACACAAAACCCCAGGGTGAAAACAATGTGGTTAGACCTGACGGTAGAGAATGCCAGTGACACGCTACGGCTGTTTACCAAAAGCTACATGAACATCTTCCAGTCTTCTTTTCCTTTTTAAAGGATGCCTGTAATCCCCCCATTCTCATTCCAATTTCTCAGTCAATCAAAGATAGGATCAACATTTCCGGAAGAAGAGCAAAAGAAACTTTATCTGTGCAGTACAGATGGAAAACAAAAATTTTGCAAATGCATGGATAAGTAACATGCAGCAAGTGCACTCTACACAGACAAAGCCCTACTAAGCAGTTAGGGGTAGCACAGGGCGAAAATCAGATTGCAATACAAGACAGATAGGAATTCTTCAACACCAAGAGCAAATTAAATGAACCTCTAAAG